CTAACACCTATATACATTAACTAATAACAACCACAACTAAGCACCCTACCACATAAAATGCATTAAATAATAATAAATAAAATGCAATTGATCCAAAATAAAAATTCTCCTATACAGATAAATCGATGGTGGGTCCCACCCGGGACTTTCCTACCCGAAAAATGAAAAAAATGCCAAAATGACAACCGTTACATTTCCAAGAGTCCTAAACTCATGAAATGCCTCCAACCAACTCTCAAATACACTCAGCACACCTCGCGGTGTCCGGCACGCAAAACAAGAAAAGACGAAAATACCTTTAAAAAATCAGAAAATTTCAAAAATTAGAAGATGGTAAAATTTGGAAACATTACATCTTAGGATTAATAAACTCTATTGAAAAATTTCAAATATTCCTTAATAAAGAATTTCTTATAAGAACAGATTGTGATAATATAGTTAAATTTGCAAACAAAGCAAAATAACAGCGAATGTCTGCAAAAAGATGGATTTCCTTTATTGATTGTATTACTAGGAGAGGTTTTAAACCCATATTTGAACATGTCAAAGGAAAGGACAATTATTTAACAGATATTCTATCCCATTTACTAATTGATTGTTAAATTTTGTACGTATGGAAAAAAGTAACAACAACATCTATAGTCTTATACCAGGCACTTCTAACCCGCTTTTGATTATCCAAAACCCAGTTCAACAGTTCCGTACTAAACATAATCTTTTTTCAGATCAAAATTTATTTTAGATAATCTTTGGTTTAAAAGAAATGCACCCGATAGATCCATCGTCAGAAATTTAAATATCTTAAGTGAATATTTTGTAGTATCTAACCAAACATATCATAATCTCTGGCAAGAACACCAGATTCTCATCTCTCATTTTATAAAGTTGAATTTAACTTATCAAAATGCGACAGCAAACCCTACAGCTGAACTAACCTTTTTCTGAATAAAGGACTAATGAAGATAAAAATCTTCAGAAAGTTCAATTTTTGCAGGTACAAACAACGTATGACAACCTACTACCCATTTTCTCCCCGACTTACAGAGAAATCCTTAGACAACAAGTCTAGCTCTTTCCTGAAGACATAAAAGAACTAATCATTGAAGAAGCAAAGTCTGATGGATTCAAAGAATGGGTTGATATCCAAAACTACCTCAGAAACAACAGTCCACCCAAAGGATCTCGTTACCATTATCTTTCTCTACGCCTTGTACAAAATTATGACGTTCTTTCCATAGTTTTGTTAGATATAGACCTTGTTTTTTATTGTCCCATTAATATCACCAGAAAGACATGCTTCTTAACAAAAACCATCTGTTGCTCCACAAGTAAACTCCTAGAATTAGGAATGGTCAATAACATTACCATACCCAAAGACATGCCTTTAGAAGTTTTAGAAGCTTTTAATTTTTTTGATTGCTCAAACCAAACCATCCTCTTTGAACAATCTCATTGGCACTAAAACTATATGCCAAAAAGTCAAATTCTCCTTCAAATCCATAGCACTCCCCCAGAATGGGTAAAAGATGGAGCTGTAATTATTGGACAATATAGGATCTATATTAATTTAGAACCAGTTGAAGTTCAAAACTAGTTACAACACACCTCCTTTGTTAATGATTTTCGTAACCATATAGAACCAGCATAGGTAATGATTTTTGTAACCAGCATAGGATCTATATTAATTCAAAACCAATTGAAGTTTAAAACTAGTTACAGCACACCTCCTTTGTTAATGATTTTTGTAATCATATAAAACCAGCCACATTTGACCATTTAATGTATTATAAACCATACGAACAACTTAACCCAAGTTTTAACCATGGTTTTAGATTTTTATATCATAATATTAATATGGATATTTTTATCAAAACCAGAATTCCATATGTCATCAGATCTCCCTCAGAAATTGAAATCTCACTAGAAGTTGCGGCTATAATAGATAAGAAAGAAGAATGCATCAGAGGACTACATACTCAGTTAGATAATCCATCAGATGAAGGAAACAACAGCTCACCAGACAGCACTGAAGAGAGAAATCTGTTTAATATGCTAAATGTGTAATAATTTCGCCAGAAGAATCTAGAGAGCACTCCAGTGTCAAAAAGTCCACAGTAGAATTCACTTTCAGGGACCAGTTATAGATAAGATTCCATCAAAAATGCAGATTTTGAAGATAAGAATCCACCGAAAGCAGATTCTGAAGTCATATATTTCTAAAAGACAATAGTTTAAAGATAAAGGTGTCCTGCAATAATTCAAAGAACCTTATCTCTAAAGCATCTTACATCTCAGCCATCTATGCAGCATCTGCAATCTCAAGCGTTGATCCATCCCTCAAATCACTCTATAAAAGAAAGCTTTCAGCTCAAGAGAAGATCATCGAGTTCACAGCCATTAAGTTTTAGCTTCCATTAAGCATTCCAGCCTTCAACCGTAGTTTCCTAGTGTGTTTTCTTTTGTGATTTCTTTCAGTGTGTTTTCCTTTTGTAAAATATTGTATGAGAGTGTATCAATGTATATATTTCCTATGAAATAAATCATCCAGTTTGCTCTTATTCAAAAATTCTTTTTCCTTATTTAATATTTTCAGTACTTTCGGGCAAAAGACTTCAGTTGACAAAAAGATCAAATATATAGATTTTATTTAGCCACACAGTGTAGATCCTAGAATTTTCTTGAATCCAACCAGTACAAACAGTCTTAGTTTTAATTTAGCAATTTCTTTTGTGAATTGACTCAAATTGTTGGCTTGTTGGCCCGTTCTTGTCAGTGTTCAGGCATTTTTACAGGGCGTTATCAAGTTTGACAGTCATTTCTGTGATTTTATTGTTAAATTTATGTCCATGTTATTGCATGCTTCTTTCCGGTTCAATTGAATTTAATTTTGATATCATAGCTATACTGTTTCGTTAAATTTAATTTATATATAAGATTTTTTTGTCTAAAGAAGTCTATAAGTCCATATTAATCTAGTGTGAATATTTAGAAAAAATATTAAATATTTTGTTTAAGGATCTTTCCGTGTAATTATTTCATGCTCTAATGTTTTTATGTTATAATAACATATTGTTTTGGGTTATTATAATAATATAACTTGTTGTGTGGTTCAAAGTAGAAATTAAGTTCATTTTTCAAAAATAGTTCATGTGATCCTTCCATGTATTTAAAATAGTTTGTGTGGTATTCTCATTTTCTTGTTGTTTTAAAACTTTGACTTCATTATAGTTTAATATTTGCCCCCCTTGAACCTATGTATTGGTAGTTATTCCTTATCTTAAAGAGTTAATATTATCTTTCTCCAAAATGAACATATATAGATGGGCAATAAGGAGGTACTAGAAGCTTGAAAATAAATGGTGCATGTGATTTTCATATATTTGTATTGTATATGTGTTGTATCTCTATCTACGGTCTATGATGGTGGGGGCACTTTTTTTTTTTTTGTTTTGAAAGGTTGGTGGGGACACTTTTCTCCTCTCCTAGTGGGTAGAGAGAGGAAATAATGCGACTTCTTGGACAGGTTCTAAATTCTGGGGCCCATAAACAATTAAATACTAGTTTTTTTAATAACCGTGTTAACCAACTCTTTGGTTGTCATTTTCTTCAAGGTGGTTCCATCTTTTTTGTTTTGTATACCTGTAGATTTGGCAATATTTAGAAGGATGTCCTCATGGTAAAGGAACCCTAATAACGCGTTTGGCTGGTTATGATTTGATGATATTGGACCATATTACGTGGGACCCTCAAGAAATGGAAGACTTGGCTCTCCTTGAGTTATGAAATTTGGATTAGATGCTAGGAATGTTCAATTGAGTGAGTGGTCACCTCTGCATTACAAGGACACAAAGGAAGTGGGGAGTTTGAACCGAAGATATTAGGATTAACTATTATTCATATTATAAATTTTTGTTCTGTTTTTTATTTATACCTCAATAATTACCTGCACAATTCTAACATAATATAAAATAACTTAAATATTTTTAACTTTATCAAAACAACTCTTTAAATTAAATAATAGATAAAAGATTAAAATATCCTTAAATATTTTATAAATTTACAAATCATATTATGTATCTTTATTGTTTCTTATATTATATATATATTATCTTTTTGCCGGATTCGTGTATTGGCGGGTATGCGGTTGGTTGTGATAGATGGATTTAATAATGAGGGTATAATAGTCATTTAAGTAACTTGGTATTTAGGAATAAATGGGAAACATTAGGGGCAAAATTATCTTTTTTTATATTTTTAACGAGATTGACGAAAAAATAATTACAGACCTAACTCATTGCTAACTCATTGCTGTTTCAAAAAATGTTCGAAAGTAATATTTGACCAAATAGTATCAATAAGATTAACCCAAGATATTAAGTCTGCCATATCATCTTATTAGTTCTCTCAATTAATAAAAATTCACTTTATAATAAAATGAGGCTTGAAAAAAAGTAATACATCTGGCTCACTCAGTATATATTCTTGAATTGGATAAACTAGATATGATATTCTTATAGTGTCGTGGCGTTAATTATTGTAAAAAATAGGCTACAAACTCATTCCAAATTGTCAGTGGTGTTAAATTTCGAATTCATTTGGAGCCTTTATTTTATTGAAGTGAACAATCAGAAAGAGAACTTAATGGTACATAGAAAATGCACTAGCAACCCTTTGAAAATAACCCCCCGAGTCCAAAGCAATATTTAATTAAATCAATCCTGCTCACTTCACACTAAATAATCTGTGTTAAAAGGGAAAATTGTGTTTCCGTGTAGCATGACTGGAATACAGACATGCAGCTTTCCTTGCTGATTACAGATGAGTTGAATATAAGAACAAGAAGAAGAAGAAGAAGAAGAAGAAGAAGTAATGAATGAATGAATTGCGAAAGAAAAAAAGAATGAATGAAGTGCATGAAACCTCAAGTTCAGAATGAATGAATGAAGTGCCTGAAACCTCGAGTTCATACCATCGGAACATTATTCAGATTAGACGTGTGGTAAGTAAAATTTCTGAAGATCTCATATATTAAGAACCAAAGTTACATGCTCAATTTGAAGGTACCAGTTGAAGACCAATGATTATAGCAAACTAACATCATGTAAATGACCTAGAAAAACTCGTTCCTTTTCTTGCTTATCTTCGCAATAGACCAGCACATATACCTATCAGAATAACAACTTGAAGAGCACAAAGATATGCCATCTGTTGCAATAATATGTTTGTTTTTCATGTGATGATGTAAAAAGCCTTTATCGTCAACAAACTCAAACTGTAAGGTCAAGCCTTTATCTGGTATTGGATGCTGTGATCAATGCGTGACTTTGGCCCTGTGCATCAAAACCATTTTCCACGCAAGCCTCACTCAAAAGTCTGGATTGACAGCTATTTCCTTTTACAAATTCTGTTGACAAGAAAGACGGATTTATTCCAATTAGTTCACAGAATCTTTCACCTTTGACATTTAAATGGAAAAGAAGCTACATATGGCATCTCTGGTTTCTGTTCCCAACTTCTAATTTTAAGCTACTAAAAGTTAAAAAGGTTGCAATATAAATACAAAAAGGAATGCCGTCACTAACCTCATTCGGTATTTAATCATGTTCAATTCCAAGCAGTTGGAGAGATTCAGGGCCAACAAGGAATACACGTCGAGTTTGGTATCGGAAAACTACTACTCCTTTATATGCAGTCCTTGGTACACCATCCTGCGATAAGAAGAAAATCAAATGAGAAGTTTTATTTTTTATTTTTTAATTACTTTATTTATTTATTTATTATTTTGTTTTACTTTGTTGAAGGAAAATTTCTACAATAACAATGGCAAAATAGGCCAGTATGCATGTGGAGGGTCCTGATCTTTTAAAATGTTAGAATGCATATAAAATGTGCACACACTGTACTCACAAGTGTAGAAGAGGGTGCATGCAAGCCACAGACTCATAGAGAGTGCAATTTTAAGCATTATTATAAATTCCTGAGTTTGAAAATAAGAATTCTATTACAGGGAACCTATCTGGGTCCAATCGAAGCACACCACAAGCCTCATAGCCACAGATCAGGATATGGAGGGATAAGACCATTACCCAAGGTTCTAATACATCAAAGTAAACTATGTCCCAATTAGACCTAGAGGGGGATAAACAGATCACTTGCACACTTTGATCATTTTTGTAAATTTCAATTTTAACCAATTTCAAACTAATTAATCAATCATGATAACGCAATTCATAAATCAATCCAACAATCCAAACTGTTAGACAATACAGCAAAGTAAATCAAAGACAAATTTTTGTGGAAAATTCAAAAGGAAAAAACCATTGGACCTTAATAAAGCAACTACTAAAATCCTAAAAACTCCCAGTTGCTTCAGATTAGGCTCACGCCAAATGTTACTCCTTAGGCTCTGCTGCTGTCAATCTACAAATCTTCTCCTCATGCGATCCACTCTTCCTCTCGTAAATGATTTCCTTTACAATTCATTCAACCTTCAATCTATTGATGTCTAGATGTTGTGATTGATCAATCTTCAACTCTTACAAGAAGCTTGTACTAGAACTCAATCAAACAAAATATTAATGCTTTGCTCAGTAGGAATGAAGGAAGAGGGGTGGAGGGAAAATAAGAAGGAAGGAACAAACTTCCTTCATTTGGTAGAGAGGAGACAAGGAGAGAGGATAAAAGGAGCGATGAGTCATCCTTCCTCCTTTACAAATTTTCATCCCTCCAAATATGGGCGGAAGAGAGGAAGGAAGACAAGAGGTGCTATTATGGAAGTTTTGAATTACAATACAATCCTAAATTATACAACTTTTAAATTACAATACAATCCTCTATAAATCAAAATATTATAGATAGTGATGGGCATAGTGGTAAAAACTATTTAAAATTCTATGTTTCCTTCTCTCCTAATGAACACAATAAATTGTGAGCTTATTCTCTCATCTTTCATCAAACAAAACAAAAAGATGGAATGACATAATCTCTTCTCCAGTGATGTCTCATCCAGCCCTTCTTCTCTCCCTTCCATCCAAGTTTTTCTTTCCTACCAAATGAAGCATAAGGCATTCTATGAAAAACCTAAGGAAAAAAAACTCTCAATATTGTGCCTCTCATTCTTACTCACATATGGTGTAATTCCCTCTCTCCCTCATTGTTTTGAATATCCTAGGACACCTTTTTATAGTGTTGGAGTAATTATAAGTTGATTAGGAATGTTTTCAATGAGTGTTGGAAGGTTTAGAAATAAATAGAGTTTTGGAAGCGCAAATTTTACCAATGTCGGGTGTCTACCAACCGATCCAAGGTGTGTTCAATCTATTCAAACAACTATGGCGGTGATTGATTGATCGGGGGTTCAATCGTAGCATTCCAAAGTGAGTTCGATCAATTGCACTTTTCATCCGAACCTGAATGTACATACTCTGACTTTGGACGCTTCGTTGAGGGGTCAAATAGAATCAAAATTTGACCTATAATATAATGTTGGAAAACTTATCAAGTCTACATAGTGGAAATGAAAAGTTCATAATGAGATTCCAAGTAATCTATTTTTAAATACCCTAACCAAAACTAGATTTTAGTTGGGTTTCAACTTAAACTCAAAATCTCAGCTTCCTGAGAAAAAGTAAGGTTTCCAAATTCATTTTCTGATTAAATAATATTCAACTTTAGCCTTTCTAATTAAGCTTAAACTTTGAAAAACTCATAATAAATACAAGTTTCCTAATGGATTATAGACCAATTTAATCAATTTTTGAAGGTTGATTAGGAACTTTTAAATCAAATTAATTATTCTTAAACCTATGGTCTTCTAGGTCACTTACCTCTACATTGTGTGATTGGCAGAGCTTGAAACAAAATGCTGATGCAATCTTTCAGCTCAGTCTTCAATCTATAATTAAAGCTTCAACATTGATGTGAATCTTCCACGGAATGACCAACCTAGACACAACTTTTGCTGAATAAGCCAACCCATGACAGTTCTTTCAACAAAATTCTTCAAGATTTAGGGATGCAGGGATAAGCATTAACGCTATTGTTGTACAATATTGTATGAGTTGTCACGTTGTACAGTATTGCATGAGTTGTCACGTTGTACAGTATTGTATGAGTTGTCACCTACCCCTCATTACCATATATAGAATTACCATGTATGGAGTTTACTTGTTCTCCACTCACCTACTCCCATAGCTTCTCCTATATAAACACAATTGTATTATTGTATTACTCACTCAATAAGATCAGAGCGGAAATCGATCCCTCTGTTAGTCTTATTCAGACTCCGATCTTGATTCCATCTCGGCTTTCTCTCAGCAATCGCTTCTTGGCGATCTCTCCTCGGTGATCTCAGTTCTCGTCTCGACAATCTCTCTCAGATCCCTCTTCGGCTTTCTCTCAACAATCTCTTCTCGGTGATCATTCCTCAGTGATCTCAGTTCTAGTCTCGGCAATCTCTCTCGGATCCCTCCTCGGCTCTCTCCTCGATAATTTCTCTAGGGTTCATCTCGGCTAGATCTTGGTTCTCTTATCTTGGTTCCCTCTTACTACTATATCTCATTTGTTCGGCAGCTCTTGTGATGGATACTAAGGAATCCCATCTACTTAGGTTAATCACCAGCACCAAATTGAAAGGCTCAAACTACCTTCAATGGTCTTGAGCCGTAGAGGTGTTCTTACGGGCTCGAGGAAAATTGTCATATCTAAAATCAACCAAACCCACCAGTGATGAAAAGATTATTGGGACTTGGGAGAAAGAAGATGCTCAGATTATGACTTGGTTATGGAATAACTTGGAGCCTGAGATCTTCAACAACGTGTCATTATGACTTGGTAATGGAACAACTTGGAGCCTGAGATCTTCAACAACATGTCATCCCTATAATCTGCCAAAGATATCTGGGAAAATCTCAGGGACATGTATTCTTCGGAGAAGAATATTTCTCGTATTTATCAGTTGTACCAGGATATTTTTAATCTCCAGCAAGGAGATCGTTCTGTTAAAGATTATTACTTAGAATTGAAGGGAATGTGGGAAGAATTTAATGTCTACCAACCATTGACTACAGATATAGAACAACAAAAAGGGCACAGGGAGGAGTTTCGGGTGGTAAAATTTTTATCTAGACTTAAACCCGAACTAGCTCTGACCAGTTCGCAGATTTTGTCTGGCAAGGAGATACCCACGAGTGAGACTTTTGCTCGAGTTCGAAGAGCATCTATTCATGCCCCTGTGATTGAGAAGGACAACCACTCTGCTTTTGTTGTTCCTACTGAGCGACATGATACTTTCCGTGGAGGACGAGGGGGCAAAGGTCCTTCCAACCCAGGCCGTGGTACTCGTGGCAGCAGAGGGGGTCGCGGCAGCAAGAAGTGTACTCATTGTGGCCGAAACAATCACTATGTTGACTTCTGCTGGGCTCTTCATGGCAAGCCAGCTTGGGCTAATTAAGCTTCGGTTTCTGAGGAGACTACTCCCACCCCTGTGAATGAACAAGTTGTTCTCTCCAAAGCCAAATATGATTCTCTGGTAAAGCGTGAGGTGCAAATTAGCCCTCCTCCACGACTACTATAGGTACTTCAGGTAATACGTGTCTCCATGCTTCCTCTTCTACACCTTGGATCATTGATTCAGGGGCATCCAATCACATGACAGGTAACCCATCTCTTCTTTCTGATATTTCTCATGTTTTCTCACCATTGGTTGTTACTATAGCAAATGGTGCCAAATCACCTGTTCATGGAATTGGTACCTTCCATACTTCGGGTCTCACTTTTTCATATGTTTTATATATCCCTCAATTTTCATTCAATTTACTGTCAGTTCGCAAAATCGTATCAGATTTAAATTGCTCAGTTACATTTTCTCCTTCCTGTTGTGTCTTTCAGGATCTCAAGACAAAGAAGACGATTGGTGGGGGGTTTGAGAAGTAGTCCGACAGCTCTATATTCCACCTCCTCTTCAGCTTACTAGTGGCATTGCCGCCTTAGACATCCCTCTTCAAATAGTCTTCGAGCCTTGGTCCCTTCTTTAGTTGATTTTGCTAAGTTTAATTGTACTTGCGAACTTAGCAAACATCGTCGGGCTACTTTTAAGTCTCGTTTTGATAATAAAAGTTTAAAACCTTTTGAGTTAGTACATTCGGATGTTTGAGGACCAGCTCGTACTACTGATTTATTTGGGGCTCGTTATTTTGTCATTTATTGATGATTATTCACGTTTAACTTGGGTTTATATTCTTAAAGATAGATCTCAAGTATTCTCTGTTTTTCAATCCTTTTATGCTGAAATTCAAAATCAGTTTGATGCAAAATTACTTGTTCTTAGAACTAACAATGCCCTTGAATATACACTTCATGTTTTTCAAAAGTTTCTTGAGTCAAGGGGCATTATCCATCAACCATCTTGTCTTGATACCCCTCAGCAAAATGGAGTTGTTGAACGGAAGAATGGCCCACTCCTAGCTATCGCTCGTGCCTTAATAATTCAAATGCATGTTCCAAAACATTTTTGGGCAGATGCAGTTCTGGTTGCTGCTTATCTTTTAAACCACATGCCTTCTAAGGCCTTCAAGGAAAATCACCCTTTCAAATGATGTTTCCTAACAAAAACCCTTTTTCCATTCCTCCAAAAGTGTTTGGGTGTGTCTGTTTTGTTCATAATCTAAGCCCAAGACGAAACAAACTTGATCCTTGTGCTCACAAATGT